GGGTGCGGGAGGAGGAGAGGCCGGGAGGCAGGAGGCGGAGGCGGCGGGCGGCGGGACGGATGGCGACGGCCGGGGGCGGGGCGAGCGCGGCCGCGACCGGGAGGAGGTGGAGGAGAGGCCGGCGGCTGGGGGCGGGGTGGGCGCGGGCGCGCGGGAGGTCGACCGGGCGGCGGCGGGGGCGACTAGCAGCGGCGGACACGGGCATGGGCGCGGGATTTTTCCCTCCCGCGCGAGGATAACCGTCAAATGAGGGTTAGGGTAGATTTTGCTTCCTAATCCTTATTTTTCAGGGTTGGAAGAGGGTTTGAGGGTTGGATCCTTAAAATTTTTTGAGGATTTGAGAGTTAAGGGATTTTAGTCTATGCAATTTTTTGCTCGCAAATTGTAAAAAAAGCGGTTATTTATAAGAGTTTAGGAGTTTGAGGGCTCTACTAGAGATGCTCTTACACCCGGCTGTAGGATGTATTTTCCCTATACTTTCTCTAAAGCCTCGAGTTCAGAACCCTGGCTCCTTGTTGACTAGCTGTAGTTCCTGCCCCGGTAAAGGGCGGCAGTAACTCTAACCGTCCCAAGGTAGCGGAACTCTTTCTTTTTTAGTACAGGAAATGAAATTTTTTGTCTATCTTTGTCTCATGTGTGATGAAAGGCACCGTTTGATGCAGGTCCCATCTAATTCAAAAGAGTGAAGTCTATTTTAAACCTTAAAATTGTAGAGCTCGTCATAAATGAACCCTCATCTTTAAATCCCTGAAGTCTATACCCTATACTCATGAATCCCAGTCATTCCCAACCCTTAACCTGTTTGGTGCACGGGGAAAAACATGATCTTAGCCAGAATCAATTTTTTTTTTCTACTCACTACACCGGTCCACATCGTGATGGCTGTTGCCCTGGTCCTGCCGTCGCTCCGGACGCAGAGCACGAAAGTTGGCCACCTTCTGCGTGCTGGCCAGCTGGATCAGGCACAAGGCGCTGGAGCGTGCGAGTCCGGCTATACCGACGGCGTCTGAGGGGGCGGGCTTGCGGGTGGTGGTGACAGCGGCAGAGATCAGGGACAGCGGGCTGCTGCCGTCGGTGGAGTGGGTGGAGAGCGTCCCGGTCGTCGTCTGCCCGCTGCACGGCGACGTGGTGGTCGGTGCAGATAGGTCGAGCACCGTCAGGTGGCCGGTACTCAGCGGCGCGGTGCACCACCCTTGATGATCGTCGTGAGCAGATGCTTGCCTGTAGAACGGGAGAGAGAAGTGAGGCAACATGATTGTAT